AAAAAAAAGAAATTCCACTCTTTCATGCATTGCTCATTTCACATCAGACCATAACAAAAACGAACGAAATGAATTATTGAAAATTACATTTTTATAGATGAAAAAAAAAAAAGAAAGGAAAACTATGGTAATGTATACAAATATGCAGACAATTACTGGAATAAATAGAAAAATCAATCCGTTTTACTGGCTTCTTCTAATAATGTTGCTTGTTCAGCTGTTATTTCAACAGGTTCAAATCGACCAGATTCTTGAATAATTGGTGGATTTGAATTTTCAATATTTAATACTGTTTGTTTTTGAGGAGTTTCTTCTTCATCACTTGAAGATGATGATGATGGTGATGATGGTGGAGTTGAAAGTGATGTTGCTGATGAAACCATTTCAGGACTTGATGTTGGTTTTATTTCAGTTGATATTTGATTATTATTTGATGATAATTGATTTACAACTTCATATTGATCATCATCTGTATTTGTTGTTGTTGATTGACTTGAACGACGAGAAGATTGACTAATTATATCATTAGAATTTTTTGTTTGATTTACATTTTCCATAATCAAATTTGATGTCTAGAAAGAAAAAAATCAAAATTTTGTGTAATATTTAATATAATAATTTAAAAATAAAACTTACTTCATTTCTATCTGTTATAAGCATAGCATCAATTGGACGCATTTGTCTAAAATGAAAATATTTTTAAATATTATGATCGGAGTCGAAATGTTTGACTTCACATATCTCTTATCATAATCGTTTAAATTTAATGGTTATTCTGATAAATCGAATTTACGTTTTTGAAAACATTTAAACCATGGATGCGCACAGTTTCTATCTACTGGCCGCCAACATCACATGTATTTAGTACAGACTATCTAGAGCCTTTCAGGTTGGTCCCGGATCCGAAGCTGTAATTTAAACTATTCTCGAACACTTTCGATTTGTTTCAAATAGACTCACTAATCATATTATATGTTTGTTTGTATAACGGCCGGTATACTGCGGTACTAATGATGAGTGGAAGCAATCGTTTTTAGTCCTGCTTTCACGCTTTGTAATACATGTACTACTGGAAAATTCGATATGATTTTCTAGCAGTACCAGACATCTTGCACAATCTACATGACTTCTAATATCCTGATTCATTAGTATTTCGTCTATTTTGTATGTTCGAAAACTCTGTTGTTTACGAATAAAAAGAATTAATTTTACTATGAAAATTGTAATAACAAATATTGAAAGGCGATGCCTCTTATTTACTCTCATAGAATTTGTGGTTATTGTAATGTATATCTTAGGAAATAGTAATAACAAGTAAAAGGTCAAATGTATCATATATCGATACAAATATCTTTTAGATGGAAATACTTGAGATGCATATTTCAATGAATTATTGTTAACTTACGTATCATCATCTTGATTTTGATCATTAGTTGGTGTGGTTGGTGAATTAGTTTTTCGATTAGCAAAATTAAAAAGACTTTTTGATGGTGTTATTGATCCTGTTTGTTGAGACTTTTTACGTTTAAAGTCTGCTTCATCTCGAGCTGCTCGTCTAGTTTTATAAAAAAAAAGAAAATACTAAATTTTTAAATTAATATTTAAATTTGTATACGAACAATTCAAGTTGAAGTTCAAGTATTATATTTTCCATTAAAACAACTTCATTTTCACGTTCAGTTTTTAATGTCTCAAAACGAGCTTTTAATTGTTGTAATTCACGATCACGATGGCGTAAAAGTTCTTCAAAATATTTCTTAAAAAAAAAAGAAAAGAATTAATTTAACATATGTACAGGACCGCTCAAAAGTCATTTAATCGAAGAAAAAATTGAATATCTCTTCTATAGGTTTTCCCCTCTGTCAGAAATTTTCTTTTACCTCAGAACAAACGATCTGTCTGAAAACTTCAGAAAATGTGTGTCCGAACCTTAACACTTCACAGCAAAAATTTCGGCTTCTGGTCGATTTTAAAATGTAACCGAGACCTGTCGCTACAAATTAAAAGAGGTTAATATTTCATGATATTATTTCTTTACTTCTAATGAAGTTTTCTCTCAAAAACTAAGTCGAAAATGAAAATTTCAACTCTATTCAATTAAAAACCTTTTTAAGCTTTCTAACATGTAAAACAGTCGAGAAATTTTCGACACAAGAACAAGAAAAATTTACTTTAAGAAAAACATGAAACAAAATTTGATCTAGGGGAATTCAAGCTTCTCTCTTAGTAAAACCGATATATTATAGCTAGAAGTGGTAACAATGATCCAATGCTGATACGGATTTTCAGCTGACCGGTAGAGCCCATCGGGTCCAAAAATTTCTGGATCCGGACCTTATGGGCTCTACCAGCCGATCTATCCGTGTGATATTGGTCTACCTGTATACCGATCGGTCCGGTCGTCAAAAAACTAGACCAGTCCTATCCCTGTTTTGAAGGCTATTATAAACAGATGATTTGCTACTATTTAACGAAAAACGGGTTTAGAAGCTGTGAATAGTAATACATCAAAACTGTTCTTTTCAATAATTTCCTTAAGGATATCAAGTATGAATATCGCTTTATTATCGGTAAAAAAAAAATAAGTCTATTTTGTGAAACTATAGTGGAGATATTCAAATATTTTTCTTCGGTTAACTGACTTTTAGATCATCCTAATGATTATAGATTTAAAAAAGAATTTATTCTTTACACGTTGTTCAACTTCAAGTTTATGTTTATCCAATGGAACCATTTCACGTTCAGATAAATGTAATGGTTTAAGTTCATTAACAGCTGCTAATGTTGGTATTGGTTGTTTATTTTCTTCATCATTATTTTGATCTTTAAGTAATTGTTTCATATTATTAACACTAAAATTTATTTTATATGAAATATAAAATTAAATTTTTTGATTACTTTTTTGAATTATAATATAAATATGGTGTTAAATCAATAACATCAATTTCGGAACCATTGAATAATAAAGGAGTAATCATTGAATCATCTTGTTTAAAACAAAAACTAAAACAAAAAAAAAAAAATTCTTTTTGAAGAATTAAACATAAAAAAAAAAAAGAATTTTAATACCTAAAATCAATGGCACTTAAACCAGCTAATTGATCACATAAAATAAACGCTTGTGATGATGTCATGATTGAATCCTCATGATAAAATTTTCTAGAAGTTTTTTTTTTCCTGAAAATTTTTATGATATTTCAATTTTTCATACCGAACAAGTTGACAATCGGATAGAACAAGTTTTAACAATTCGGAAAGTTTTTTTTCCATTAATGCAAATTTAATCCATGTTCGACCCTAAAATTAATCAATATAAAATATCTTTTTATGATTTTTGTTTTTCGTCAAGATTATTCTTATAGAGATTTTGCATGATTCAAATCAAATTCGATTAAAGATAAGTGAATAATGAAATATCATTTTGTCCCTTTAACTATATGAATGAGAAGTAAACACTTCTGATTATTAAATGTTGATTAATTCGATTTAATAGATACATTATTCAACTAATATCTACCCTATATTTCATACTCTTTGTCTTTGATACTTCTTCGACACGTTCAATAACTAAAGAAAATTAAATTGAAATATAAAATTAAATTTAATCTATTTCATATTTTACTAGTTTGTCGTGATGAACCAATACATGCTGGTCGAATAAAATCCCAAAAACATCGACGTTCTGATAGCCAATTTGCTATTAAAATAACAAAAATTTTTAAATCTATATATTTTGTTTTTTATGTTTACCTCTCATACGAAAATTAAGAACACGTTCAAGTGTTAAAATAAAATTTGTAACATCATTATTTCGATCATCAAGTACAGGTAAAGCTGTTGGTGATGATGATTGATCAATTAATGTATTTAATGTTAATCTATATTAAAGAAATTTGTTTTTCTTTTTCGTTTTTATTGTATTAAATTTCTAACTTACTTAATTAAACATAATAAATTGGCTTTTTCTCTTTCATTATTGATACTTTCACTTGCAAACATGTTTTGTTTTTTTTTTATCTAAAAAAATCTGTTTTTTGTTTTTTTGGTCTTATTTGTATTAATACACATCCACACAAACAGACGATATACTGGCTGGGATGATGCATGATGATGATTTTTGTTATATAGGTGAGAACGATGATGATAATAATAAACACAAAAAGAAGAAAGAACCAACACACACACACACACACATATGTTTTTCTCTATTTGAACATCGAAAAAGAAGAAAACAAAAAGAAAAAAAGAAAAAAGAAAAAAAAAACGCATGTGTATGATAATAAAACAACAGTTGGAAAGAGAAAAAAAAACAAACAAACGTTGAACGACACCGAGCACAATAAGAACAAGAAGAAAAAGAAGAGAGAGAGAAAAAAAAACACTCACACTACAAACAAAAAATAATCCTAGATGTGAAATATAATATGTACAAAAACCATAATATATATATATGTATATGTATATTCATATTTATATGCAGACAAACACAAATTACTATTTGTATCCGCCGCCCTGCAGAGGAAGAAAAAAAAGAACGAATGGTTCAACATTTTAGTCGATCAATAGCTGTTCTCAATGCTAATTCATGTGTATCATAAGATAAATAATCATCTGATAAATTATTTGGCATTATACCAAGTTCAAATGCCATTTGAGTTTGAATAGCTAAATAATAAGAATTTATAATTACAATAAATAATTCATTAGAAAAAATCTTTAATTGTCTCACGAGTTACAAGAATTTGCAGTGTCAGTGTAAATACTGAGCAATAAGTCAACGACATAGACTCCGCTAGAACAAACTCTATCAAAATATGTTCTTTTTCTAGTTGTATGTTTCAGTACACACTAATCAGAAATGGAACTTGTACCCGCAACCGATCGGTCTGATATAGAGTCCTGCGAAACAAATTTTCTTCATGTCCCGTAAAATCTCGTTTTTCCCGTTAATTGAAAGGCGTCTGACTGAACAAAATGCAGTAGCCGGTTTATTGTTTCTTATTTGTTTAGTTACCATGACAAATTCTTCTTTTAAGATGACTTATCATAACTATAAGGAAAAGTTTTCTTATATGGTTATACATGACTCAATCTGAAAAAGACCATTGATATCACGACTGTATTTTTCTGCGGAAGTCTAAAAGGATTTGCTCGAGTAGAAGTCTAGTTCTCTGTTATTTATTTAAATATTAAGATATACAAATTAAAAAAATTAAAGACCATGGTCCGTTTCGATATAAGAATTAAAAAATTCGGGAACATCAATTTTTTTCTATATTGTCCCGCAGGACTTTGAATACATTTCCATAAATAATTTTATAATTTTTGTGTTTTACATATTGTATCATAGCTAGAAGTGGTAACAGCGACCCGATGCTAGTGCAAATTTTAAGCCGCCCGGTTCGGTCCGGTCTGATTTTTTTCAGATCGGTACCGGTCAGCAAAAAACTAGACCAGCTCTATCTGTAGCACAAACTGCAGTGAGTCGAGTTCAAAATTTTCGGGTCCGAACTCGATAGATCAATCTTTTCCGTATCCAGGCCTCACAGTTCAAACTTTCCGCATCCGAATCCGGTTTATTGAACTTTTTTGGGACCTGGACGCGGTGGATCAAACTTTTTCGGATCCGGTTGAACCGTACTTTGATACTCTAAATGAAATCTTTCTAATCGGAATTGGATAGTCGTCCCGAAGACACGAGGTATTTTATATTCGGTGACTAGGGCCCATCGGGTCCGAACATGATGAGCTCTAGTAAGGAAACTGAAATTATGCATCCTTGATGTCATACTATCTGTGATAGAAGTGACTCATAAGACTTTTCCAAAACTAATTTTAAAAATAAAATGAATTTTGTAACTCGTAAATTAATTCAATCGATTTAATTGTCAATAGAGAAAAAAAGAAAAGTAAAATTTACTTTGATGTTCAAGTAGAATTGTTTGAATTTTATTGTCAACAATAGACATTAATTGTTCATAACGATTTTGAATCAATAAACGAACTTGTCGAGTATCATCATCATCCGATAAATGAGATATTAAAATATTCATTTGATCATTAAATGAATTTATTTTTGTTTCATTTTTTGTTGTTAATTCAATAGATAAACATGATGAAGCTTTGAAAGAAAAGATAAAACAAACATTTTTAATTATTTTGTTTTTCTTAATTTTATAAAATACATACTCGATATAGATGAACATACACTATCAACGATATGATTAATTGATTGAGCAATACATTCAAAATATTTTCGATTTTTTTTTCTCTCTTCTATTTTAGCCATTAATTGATCTGACTTTATATTGGCACATTGAAAAAGTTCAATTAAATCATCACATCTTAAACAAAAAAAAAATTATTTTATTTATTTTTGATTATTCTCTTTCTCGTAGAGAAGAAAGTTCAGCAAAACATAAATTGTCTGCTTAGTTGTGTGTCCGCACTTCACTGATTGATCGAAAACAAAAGGAATTATTTTCCATAAAACTTGATCAAAGGTAATTGAGGGCAGGGAAAACCGATATCAGTTTTTATTAATTAATTAATTAATTAATTATTAATATTTTCTAAGAAACTTGATCAAAGGTAATTGACGGTGGGGAATCAGAATTCGAGATCAATTTTTATTTATTAATTATTAACTAGTTAATAATAAAACATACAGCGAGAATATGTTCATTTCACTTTTTGAAATAGTGTACATAAATAATTTGCTGAGAGCTTAAAAATAGCATTTCTACGAGAAAGAGCTGAGGGAGTAGGCAGACAAACGTCACTTGTTTAAGGCCCCCCCCCCCCCCCCTCAAAAAAGTTAGTTTTCGTCAGAATGGTCAAGATTGAGATAAATACATGGGGAGATAGCCTGTCATTTGCTCTTTCATAAACGATAAAAACTTTTCTTCGATACCTCCTTTTTTCCGGAAAATTTTCAATATTTTTGACGATCCTTATTCGAAAAACCGCTGGTTTTTCGAAAAGTCCAAAAATCTTTTTCGTTTTTTCTCAAAATGGTGGTCGAATTACGTAGCCCCACCAAAAGTTAATTATAATCCGATATAAAGTCAAATATTTTTTTTTTTGTTTGAAAGAGCATCAAAAACTGCAGTGCCTATGAGGGCCCTTTTTTTGATAAAGCTTTCCTATTATTATATTAAAAACCGATTTTATAATATAAGCATCATTTTTTTGAGGGATTTTTGAGTGATTGAATTTGTGAAGCCTTTTTTTCTTATTAAAGATAAGAATAAAAAAAAAAGAGCCCTCATAGGCACTGCATCCTGACATGCTCTTTCAAATGAAAAAACAATGAACCATATTGAATGAATACCCATCGAGATTTTGTGCGTATGCGATAAGCTATTTTTCGACCCTTGTTTGGTTCGTAGGTACCTTATACATCAGGATAGGAGGCTGAAAATTTTATCATAGACGTACTTTTACACCCCCCCAACATATGCTCAAAGTTTCATGGCATCTCGATGTTCCTAAGCTGAGATCGAATTTTGAGGGGGGAGGGGGGGCTTAATTAATATTTACCTTAATGCATGTTGTAAAGATCTTAATATTGGTGTATGACGTAATTTTAATTCAATAATTTGTTCTCTTAAATTCCATAAACGTCGAGAATATGATAAAAAAAGAGAAATTTTTTCTGAATTATTTGTTGTATTTAAAAATAATGATGTTATTTCATCATCTAATATTGATGAAAAAGACCATTGTGGTGAACGTTCAGCTAGAAAATAAATTATATTATATTTAAACCGTAAAAATAAAATATTTTACCTTCAGCTTTTATGCAAACATTACATTTAAAAAATGCTGGAATGCAAGTTGCTGTTACACCAACACATTCACAATGAGACCAACATAAACATGCTTCACACTAAAAAACAAAAAAAATATTTTATTTTTAAATCTTTAAATCTAATCTTACTTGAATCATAAAACCATTATCAATTTGACAATTACATAAACAATGAATAACTTCATAAACATCACGTTCTTTAGGTAGAACAGGTATTTGTTCCATAACACCGGAATTAATAATATTATTATTATTTGGTGATAATAAATCTTCAATAGATTGTTGTTGTTGTTGTTGTTCAGAAATTTTTGATGATATAGGTGTAAGTGGACTAGATGGTGATAATAATAATTGTTGTTGTTGTTGTTCATTAATTAATAAATTTTCATTATTATTATTATTATTATTAGATATTATATTTGTCATATGAATAAATGATGAACGTTTTGTTTTAATATTTCGATGTTTATGTCCAATATTAGTTAAACGTTTATGACGTGTTAAAAATTTTTTTTTATTTAAATTTTGATTAAATACATGATTTAAACATAATTTCATATGTGTTTTTATTTCATTTGGTATAAATTCATATAAATTATAAATGAAATTTTTATTATAAAATATTGAAAATATTCTTTGTAATATATTTGATATTAAACATAAACGTTGATTATTATTATTATTATTATTATTATGATAATATTCTAAACGATATTTATTCATTTTTTCATAATTATCATTATTATTATAAATAAATTTAATAAATTGTTCATAAAAATTTTTATCATCTTGATTAATTATTAAATTATTATTTAATTGTTGATTTATTGTTTGATTTTGATATTGTTCTAAATAATGATAAAAATTTTCTAAATCTTTATATGTTAATAAATCATTATTTGATGATATTGGTTCACTATATTCATCAGATAAATAACCAGGATCACATAAATCATTTGTTGGTTTAGATAAATCATCATTATCATCATTATCTTTTTGTTTTAATAATAAACGATTAAGTACACCATTTATTTGTTGACCTTGTTCTTGAGAATTTATTTGTATTTGTTTTCGTTGTGGATGATTTTGTTTACGTTTAGATTTTAATTGTTGATGAGGTTTATCTAATGATGATTCAGATTCTTGTGTTATATGTATATCAGGTAATGATGGTGGTGGAGTTTCA